TTAATATGTTATAAAACAGTATATTTATTATTTTATTATGTTATAAAATAGTATATCTAATTATTGTGTTAAATTTATCAACAAAAGGAAAAAAATTTGTTATTACCCGAAAAGGTAAATCTTTTATTTTCGATGGATTTCGAACTATTAATTAATTTTATTGAGTGAAAAAGTCTTGTTAAAGCCTAATTTATGATTATTTTCAAATGTTTATGCTCGAACTAAGGAATGCAATGAAAATTTCGTATAATTCAGTAAAGTCCGTGTTAAATTGGGCGTTGAGAAAGAAATAATTTTATTCGTATACCGAAACAATGTTTATTCGGCATTGAAACTGCAATGATTTTTTTTTTTATTTATTTATTTATTTATTTTTTTTTTTTGAATACGTTTGCATTATCAATCTCTTATGGATAAAAGCATTTTTAAATTTAAACGCTTTATAAATTTGTCTAGAAAGTGGGTCACGTTCGGATTAGAACTTGAGTTCAGGCATAAGCTTGGTAATCAGAAATCGATCTCCACACATTTATTCGAAAATACCATTATATATTTCTGCAATAAAAATATTAAAAATTGTTAAGATGTGGGTTAAAAAAAAAAATAAAAAATAATGGTGCATTTATTAAGCAAACAAATTTTCATATCTATATTTCATATTAATGTATTTGTTAAAATTATCCAGAGTTTATAAAATTAACGGTTCGTCGTGTTTCTCTTATAATCTTATAATTTTTATGTTATATCATGGAGATTAAATTGAACAAAATATTTATCGACCTTTTTTGCGTTTGTTCATATTAAACAAAAAAAAAAAAAAAAACTGCTCTTCAATTCTAATATGATTGGGTGAAAATATAAAAAAAAAAAAATTGTAACGCTGACAAAAATTTATACTCGTAATTGAAATAAATTTGATATACAGAGGCACGTATATGGATAAAAATATTTTATCTAAAATCTTTATTTACAATACATTATCTAATGTATGTGTCTAATGTAAATTTACGTACACAGAATAAGTATAGAGATTCTTCATAATACACTGTTAACGTTAAAAAAAAAAATATACATATTAAGAATAGAATAATCAAACGAATAATATACTAATAATTTTTAAAAATATATATGAGAAAATTAATATTTTATTGTAATTTACATTATTTTGTGTAAACTTATCGCACATCCTTGTAATAGGTTGGTATTTATAAGGGATGTTGTTGTTGTTATTATTATTATTATTATTATTATTATTATTATACTTAAATTTGAGATTAAATTACATAGTCTCAAAATATCAGTTTAATTAAAATATCAATTTCAGTACCCTTGTATCTATAATCTGATCAACAACAATCTGATTTTACAATGGAAATGCTCTTCAATCAACATATTAAAAAAATAATAATAGTAAAAGAAATTCTATCCGATCTTTCAATAATTGTTTAACCCAAAAATGAATCCCTTTAACAAAAAATAATATTTTTCATAGTTTCACACATTTGTATCACACATAAAACGAATGATATTTAATCGCACGCATAAAAAGCAAAATGATTGAAAAAAATGCTTGGAATCGACACACATATGACACGAAACGTGAAAATTTTATCTACGAAAGCCATTCTTAAAAAAAAAGAAAAAGAAAAAGAAAAAAGAAACAATCGTATTTGTAACGAGAACAATAATTTCTATAAGAAACGAGATGATTGAATATAATACTTAATACCATTAGCTTTAACTTTAGGTACATAACCGTTACGATTATTGTCAATTAAAAAGAGTAACAAAAAAGTACGAATTAGAATGAGGTATTACTCCACATAGTCGAATGGACCAAGTTCTCGGAGCGGCTATATGAAAATTACTGGCTTTAATAATATTAAAAAGGTTTATAGAAATCCTAGTCAATCGGCCAGAAAATCATTGTGGCAAACTAAATCTGCAAACCCGAAGCTTTTACAGTATTTCGCCAATTTATACGCACTCGAAGCAATCGTCAACTACAGTTAATTTTTTACCTTTAAAAATTATATCATAATGTTAATGTATAACACGGAATTTCATTTTTCATTTTTATTAGCATATTGAGAATAAACATGTTTTATTTATCGAATTGCAAAAAGGATAAGATTTTATAATCTTTGCTTTTCAGACGCAGACCAATTAATCTTAAACAAATATAAACTTTTTGATTAAAGTTGCACGTTTTATTTGAAAATGAAGAATCGTTTAAAAAGGATTTCTTTATCGTAAATAAAGAACGTAAAAAGTACTCTTTATATTTCAAGATAACTGAATTTACTTCATTACAGACATCTACTCGACAATGGCATTAAATAGTTTATTTTTTTACCATAAAAGTATATTTAGAGTGGAAATTCACTAAGAGTGAAGTGATTTTATTATTTTATTATTCTTACAGTGGAATTATATTTTTAAAAATTTATCACGTGCATTATCGATCAATAGCACTTTGCATCGACAAGTAGTAGTGGCAGTGGTCCGATAGTAATCGAAGTGTTCGAAAATCACTGATAAATGTTGCACTACTGTATTTGCCTATGTGTGCGTGCGCATGTATATACATTCGATCTTTCTCTGTCGTGCGCTACGATTTATATTCAGAGAGGCAGCTACTAATATTTATCTATCCATCTATCTATCTATCTATCTATCTATCTATCTATCTATCTATCTATCTATCTATCTATCTATCTATCTATCTATCTATCTATCTATCTATCTATCTATCTATCTATCTATCTATCTATCTATCTATCTATCTATCTATCTATCTATATATATATATATATATATATATATATATATATATATAAATATAAATATAAATATATATATAGTTGTTGTCGTTGCTGTTGCTGCTGTTGTTGCTGATGTAAAGCGTGTATGTGTAACTTATACAAGATTATAGTTACATTAGCTAATTCTAATTAAGTTCGATAGGATAATAATGGGAAATTTTTAAGCGCACATTTTATGCAGAAATAATTTTTCGTCCTGTGCGGCTCATATTTATTTAACAAAAAGTTTCAGCAATTTGAATACAAAAGTGCACGCTCTCGCGATACACGATAAAGAGAATTGTCCTACATATCGTTAAGCAGCGCACGGCTAGCGAAATAAAATAAAAACAAAATGTTTTGAGAATAATTCCAAATATATATATATATTAAATGATATATTATATCGATGAATTTAATACTGCAGAGAATGAAAGCGAACGTCGGCCAGTTTAGTAGATTAGACGAATCATTAATTGAATTCTAATAAAGTGGGTATATGGCTTTCTAGCTAACGCTGGGAGAGGGGAGGGGGCTTAACTTTTATTACAATGCCCTCGCCCCGAAGGAATTTAGCACATATACACCCCCGGCAGGCACGAACGACCATTAAAACTAACAACAATGCGACGTTTGTCATACACACCGACAACAATTCAACCAAAAATTTCCCAAACCAATCGTCCTACAGGCTAATCTCAAAGGTAATCTCCCGTGCGCCCGCAGCAACCGGATGACGCCTGGTGGAAACCCGGGAATGGCCGGCGGGAATATTATTGGGCGGAAAACTTCACCGCTACATGCACTACCTCGCGACCAAACGTTTTCCCAACTATTTCTCCCGTCATCAACCTGAAAATTCATCGCGGCCTTTCGCTTCGCGCTCTAATTCGACGAATTAACGAAAATTCCGCTCGCTTCCGACTTCGAATCGACTCACGCACACAACGAGCACCCGGAGTTCCGGAGACTCGCTCACCTAGCCCTCGTCCCACGGCTCTGTCCGACCAACGCTGACAACGTGCTCGGGCCTGCGTGGCCCCGCCCTCCTTGTGAAAACTTAAAAATGCCGCCGCGCCGCAACCCGAATCGATACCCGGCGGCCCGCTCACGTGACCCCTGCACGCACCGCAACGGCCAATCGGAGACGTCGGAGCTCCGCCCCCTGTTGATGCTCAGCGCCCTCACGCGGCACCCGCTCGCACAACAGCGGTCTAGTCGGCCTCGGGGAGAGCGACGCGCGCATCAGCGCCGACCGCGCGCTTTTCCCACCATCGTCGCCACTGCCGCCGCCGCCACAGCCGCCGTTGCCGTCGCCGCTACCGCCGCTGCCACCACCGTCGACACCGTCGCCGCCGCCGCTGCCGTCGCCACCGCTACCGCCGCCGCCGCCGCCGCCGCCGCCGCCGCCGCCGCCGTCGTCGTACAGCGCCGCTGGCAGTCGGCGCCTCGGCGCCCAGTGTACGAGTGAACAGTCGCACGGGCGAGTCGTTGACGCGTGAGCGAGCGCTTGCCAGCAGCAGTCCGACGTCAGTCCGCGGCTGGGAGCGCGTTGTTAACACGGTTATTACGTACGTCCCGGGATAACGACGAGGCAGGCAGTCGTGGCACGTTCCTTACGGTGCCAATCCGCCGAGTCCTCCTCCCGTCAGCAGTCCAGCACCAGCGAGCTCAGTGTCCGTTCTAGCGGACGACGCGCCGCCCGGGGAGCCTTGATGCGACGCAGACGGCGCCCAAGACCTTGGTGAACGAGCGGCATCGCGTCCCGCTTCGCTCGCGCTTGCACTCGCACGCGCACCCGCACCCACCGCTGTCAACGGACCAGCAGCCGTCCCGAGAAGTGGGACGCTCGTAAGCGAGCGAGACATGTCGGCGAGGCGCGACGACGACGGGGCCGCGCTCTCGTAGGCCACCAGCGCCTAGTTCTCCGCCGAGACGCAGCAACACCAAGAGCAAGAGCAGCGTCAGCACCAGCACCGGCACTAGCAGCAGCAACAGCAATAGCAACAGCAACAGCAGTAGTAGCAGCAACATTATTATTAGTAGCATTAAAAACAGCAGCAACAGCAGCAATAGTAGCAGCAGTAGCAACAATAGCAGCAACTGCAACAACAGCAACAACAGCAGCGGCGAAAGCCGCCCCTCCTTCTCCTCCCACGTCCGCCACCTCGCTCCACGTCATAGTCGACAATCACCTCTCGGCCCTCACGCCCCTCGGGCCGTCGTTTCCCTCCCGGCCCGACTCGTCCCATCGCGCCCTCGTAGTCCAAACCCGCCTACACCACCTTCTTCCCCGCTCGCGCGCCCGCGCCCCACCCCCGAGCCTCGAGCGCCCCCGCAGACGGACCAGCCACAGGGCCGCGGTCCCGTCGGCCCGGTGCACCTGGCGTCGCGGGCGCTGTAGCATGGAAGACGCTGGCCAGCGGCAGCACCAGCCGCCGATGACGAAATTGCCAGGCTTGACGCCGAGCCACGGCACGACGACGCTCATTCACCGCTCCGGGCACTGCTACCAGCTGCACCGGCCGCACCTGGCCCTGCCGGCGCAGGCCGCCCCGCAACTGCGGCCCCACAAACAGCTCAGGACGGGCACGAGCGCCGACACGGAGGCGCCGGCGTCGGACGCCGCGGTGGACGCGGCCGCCGCCAACAGCGCCGCCAAGCTCCAGCACAAGCAGCGCCAGGAGCAGGTCGCGGTCCTCACCACGAGCGTCCTCCTGCTGCTCCACCGGCTCGAGAGCCGCACCGCCCCGGGCGCGACGCATCTCCTCGAGGGCGCCGGCGCCCAGCCCCTGGCGCTCCAGAGGGCGAAGCCCGCGCGCCACCAGTCGAGCGCGAGCACCCACGTGTCGAGCCTCTACCCGGAGATCCTCGCCCTCATATTCAGTAACCTGGATGTGAGGGACCGGGGCCGCGCGGCTCAGGTGTGCGTAGCGTGGCGCGAGGCCGCCTATCACAGGTCAGCCTGGCGCGGTGTCGAGGCGCGCCTCCACCTGCGCAAGCACTCCTCGCCGGTGTTTCAGTGCCTCGAGAGGCGCGGCATAAAGCGCGTCCAGGTGCTCTCGCTGACGATGCGCCGTGGCCTCGGGGATGTGTTCCGCGGCATACCCAAGCTCCAGTCGCTCAATCTCTCCGGCTGTTACAATATGTCGGACGCCGGGCTGAATAGCGCCCTCGGCCAGTCGTTTCCCTCGCTCACCGAGCTCAACCTCAGCCTCTGCAAGAACATCACGGACGCGAGCCTCGGGAAGATCGCCCAGTGCCTGAAGAACCTCGAGAGCCTCGAGCTCGGGGGCTGCGGCAACATATCGAACGCGGGCATGCACGTGATCGCCTGGGGCCTGAAGAACCTCAGGCGGCTCGACCTACGGAGCTGCTGGAACGTCTCCGATCAGGGTATGGCGTATCTCGCCGGTCTCAACAGCGAGGCTGGCGGCAACCTCGCCCTCGAGCACCTCAGTCTCCAGGACTGCCAGAGGGTGAGCGACGAGGGCCTGAGGCACATCGCCCAGGGCCTCGCGACCAGCCTCAAGTCCATCAACCTCTCGTTTTGCGTGCCAATAACGGACTCGGGCATGAAGCACATAGCAAAGATCGCGAGTCTACGCGAGCTCGACCTTCGCTCCTGCGACAATATCTCCGAAATCGGGATCGCGTACCTCGCCGAGGGCGGCTCACGGATATCCGCCCTCGACGTCTCCTTCTGCGACAAGATCGGCGACCAGGCGCTACAGCACATCAGCCAGGGTCTCTTCAATCTCAAGAGCCTCGGCCTGTCGGCCTGCCCGATCAGTGACGAGGGCATCTGCAAGATCGCCAAGACCCAGCAGGACCTCGAGACCCTCCACATCGGCCAGTGCAACAGGCTCACCGACAAGAGCGTGTTCACAATCGTCGAGAGCATGCCCCATCTCAAATGCATCGACCTCTACGGCTGCACGAGAATCTCCAAGTTCGGCCTCGAGAAGATCGAGGTGAAGCTGCCGCCGATCTCCCTGAATCGGGACCTGCGACAGGAGCGCCGGTGATAGCGTTCAATGGCCCTGTGGACGCAATGACCTTCACTATGGTGAGTTATTATCCGCACCTGCCACACTTAATACACGAGCGCTCGCTAGCACGTCTCTCGCGTTGAGCTGCGAACGGGCCTGAATCAGCCTCATCGAGTACCTCCCCCC